GAAGGGAGCTTCTGAATGCAAGAGACTTCTAATAGTTCTGTATCAGGCGGAGGTGTTTTTCCTTGCACATTTCATCTGGAGAGTTGGAAGTCACGAGGAATTGCCGAGGAAATTGAAATTTACATGCGAGTTTTCACTCTTTGAAGATTTTAGCCTTCTTCATTAGCTATTTTTAGATAATCAAAGACAAGCTTCGTAACATAGAAGATTTATACTTTCTCGAGAAGTGCTGCAGTTGTTGAAATTTTTTAGTTCGCAAGAAATCTGCGTCGAGGAAATAGAGAGGAAATTTCTGAATCCACTTGAGAACTCTATTCCTTCCTCGCCTTTGCAAGAAATTTCTTCGAACAACCTCTAAATGCTTCCTCACTACCTTTAGAACATACCATTTCAATGAAGTAAATAGGAAACGATGCACTTGGCGCAGATTCCGGTCTGGCATGCACCATGCAGTGACCCCACTCGGAGTCGTTTGAAAGGTATTTCACACACCTACACGACAATTTGCTCGTGCAGTTCAGAAGGTGTTTCTAGTCTTAATTGGTTAAAGGAGGAATTCACGATAAGAACGAAGGTCAAAGAAGGGGAAAATTGCATAGTTGGGAGACAGGCGGACCTCCTGAGGGTGCTGACCGACGCGCAATTGGCAGCGAAATTTGACCTCGGCGATCTAGCATGGCTCACTCTTGGCGCGGTTGGCGGGGTACGCCCACCGACTATCTAATCACTCGCCGCAGGTCTATACGTGGCGAGTGATTAGATAGCAGAGAGAGCGTAGTGTTGAAGAGGGCACAGCGATGAGAGTCGCATCAATGCGCGAATCAAACGGGCAAGGAAGGGTCCCATTTCTCGGGTTTTGGGCCGTTTCGCCCTCGTTTCTTCCTTTCTTTGTTCCTCCACCGACCGTCTCTACCCTTATTTCCAATGAGCTAAATTTTGATTGAAAATTCAGAATTAACAATACCTCATGTGGTCTTATTTTTAGTATAATCTGATCATTCCTTCATTTGCGTTGGCTCCTTTGCGACCCTGTATCGATGAATGGCGCATTGGGGCCAGAGTCAACCCTGCGTTGCGCAGTTTTCAACGGCCACGTTGCGCAGTTTCGCCCGATTAGACACGTTCTCTCGCGCGAACATTCACACTCGCATGCTCGAGCCGTCTGTGTCTCCGCCCATACAGCGTGCGTTGAGGATCTCTCAACGTGCCGTTGCGAACTGCGCAACGCAGGGTTGACTCTGTTGGGGCTGCAGTATGTGATGATGCCAAGAGGATCGAATCTCCCCTTTTTACTCACTCTAATATATTCCTCAACTGGATTCTTAAAGTGTATATTATTTAAAAGTAGAAATTCGCTGCCCATTTACTGCAATTCTTTTGCAGGACGCGTTTCCTCTCTACCGATCACAGCAAAACAGACCGGCAACCATTTTCATTAAATCTCATTCCAGACAGTTGTAAGATATTATTTGCATTAGGCTAACTACAACACTTGTGAAAGTAATGATGACAGCAAATAAGTGGCAGCAGCACCGTTGTGTCCGTTGATGAACCTTTTGATTACGACCCCCTCCCACCTCTCATCGGAGCAAATACGACCCCCTGTCGAAGATTTCTTCGACCACTATCCGCTCTGTTTGACATACTAGACTTGTAAATTCACTATAACAACCGTTGAATAGAGAAAATCTTCTAACTCACAAGGCTATATCAACTATTCAGATCTGGCGAACTTAAAAAATGTTATGGCTTTGGAAATAGCAAAAACTCGCATTTTGAAAATCTGTCCACTTTGAGGAAAGTTATAATCATTTGAATATTGTGTTCAAATTTCAATAGTAAATAAGCTGCTCCACGGTCAACGCCAAAGATCAACACACAGCTGGCTAAGGCGGTTACAAGGCTTCTTTCAATGAAAGGGGGACGTGTAAATTGAGAAGTATACTCTGTGTAGTACTAAAACTAAGTCTCTCAAAGGAATTGAGGGAAGAAAAGATGCTGTCATAGTATGCTATTCTTCATGACTAGTTTTAAAGACAACTGCTTCAGACAAAGAGCGTGTTTTCTGTGATGACCACGAGCAATCTTAGCATGGTGCGTGATAGGAGCAATGATTTTGCACTCCTACCGACTAAGATTGGCCAACTCTTTATTATAAGGCGCCATTCGCTGCGGGACCCACCGCCTCTAATCATGATGAACCTTCGAAGCGATCGCGTTTGATTTCTGAGTTCTTCTGAAAGGTTAATCAGTAAAACATGTGCTGCTAAGTGAGTTGGGGGGACCACGCGGCGGCGCGGCACTTTGCTCACCTGGTGCTCTCTCGAGCGAGATAGTGTAAACTCGAACATTCCAGCTTTTCACGCATGTCAAGTGACTGGCCAATTTGTTGCATTGTGAAAAAAACTATTAGTCATGCGGTCACTTCATCCTGCGCAGTACACATGCACGGTTAAAGCCATTGTACGTTATACACCTCATTACAATCATTCGCAATTTGTCATGAAATTTCATCACGCTTCATTTATTAACATAACTATCAGTACAGAAGAAGTGGAAGCGTTTATCGTAAGAGGGATATATAGGAATTACATGTGAAACATCATTCGACGGAACAAAAAAAACCGAAGGTTCATCCGAAGTTTGACTTTGAAACTTCTGACTGATTCAAGAAGGATTCCCTCATTTCTGGCGAGGACTGGGCGTGTCAACTCTTCTGCTATTTGGGCGCTCCTGCGAGTCATGCGATTCTGGAGAGTTATCACCACGTGACTGCAAAAGCAACGGTTGTGAAATGTTTCTGCTTGGTCCAAGCGGAAGAATAAACAGACCGAAGCGCTCACATTCACGGCATACTTCGAACTCAAGATTGAATTCAGTCGCATTAAGTGGGAATGTGTACTTCGAGCTTCTCTCTTTCCAATCGACGTGAAATGTTTCATTCGCTATTATTTCATAACATGGCACAATGGTCACGTATGTGTGCTTCTTCCAACTCTATGTACAAAAGAATTGTACATAAGATTTTTTTTGTTTCGACTGCATACATTTCGCGGCTTAACTACACCTTCAGAACGGGTAGTCATTAGTTTCTATGAAGTATTATTCCCTGTAAGGTCAGATCAGAAATTGTGTAGCCTAAACATATTTGGCAAGAGCAGTTCTCTGGTAACGATAATGTAATTGCGTATCTTGAACTAATTCCCAATTTGTTTGAGCGTTGTGGTCGATAGATTTGAATCCTCGTGAGATACCGTTGCTTTTCACGAGTGCCTTCTGCAGTCCTAATAAGGTTACATTCGGACTTAACTGCAATGGAGATGGTGACCAACTCGTTGAGTCGCTAATGTTTTCCATTAGCACTGTTCATCAGAAAGCTCTCTCCAATTGCGACTGCGCTGGAATAGCAAATCATGAATTCCATAGCAATATGAAAGGGCTGCGATTTTACCTAGGGTATACTCTCATCACACGAGTTCCTCCACAAAATAATGTTTCAGTAATCCTGCAGTATGCGAATTATTGCACCGCATCGTCCGCACTAGAAATTCTACTCTGGAGTACAGTGTTCCATGGAGGCAAAGATATGCGACCTCCGAAACAAGCTGCAAAGGTTAGGCTCGAGCGGTACGCTTCTAGTCTAGCCTTCTCCAAGCACCTTGAAATAATTCTTTTGCAAGCATCCCAAAATAACTAGGTTGAAACTAGGATTTTCCGAAGAAGTTTGACTACTCTCAAATTACCAGCTTGCCTCATTTGTAGTGTTAGGTTATGAATATGCTGAAAAACTCGATTATATGTAGTCCGTCCCATTCAATTTGAAATACCAACATTTGTCGAATGGTCCTCGTGAGGAAATTAATCTCGAGCAAGCTTACCGGCTTCATCACAATTATCTGGGCGATGTTGATAGATCTGTCTCTTTCTCTAAGTTTCTTTTATTTTTCAGTATCATCACTTTATATTATATCTAAATATCGTTTTTTTCTATTTCTGCTACGTTATAATCTAATCTTTGCTACATTTTCGTGGTAACACAACTGCTCTAGGGTTCAGAGTAACAATATACCCATGTCTGCGTCCAATTCGTGAATGACGGCTGAATGCGTGGTATTCTTGGATACCTTTCCGATCATTACAACGATTACTGATGTTTTCAAAAGTGCTCACCTCCGAAATTTACAGTGGTGCTGTTCATAAATGATAAACGTACCTCGACTGACAGTTTTTCGTCTGAAATTTTTATATCAATTTATCTGGTGTCGGAAAAAGCCTCATTTACGCTTACTTGTGTCATGGCTATGTGTCGCATCCTTCGCTACGGAGAAAGCTGAAAAGCATTAGTTTCAAAAACTCTTTTTTTCAACAATTTTGCATTTTTTTGTACTTCAAGGAGCACATTGGCGCCACGTGGGGAACCTACCGAGGAGAAAGAGCATAAGGTAGACGGCGAGCATTGTAGGAATTTGGAGCCTGAGTGGTGACAAGACGTTTTATACCACCAACCTATTGCCACACTAACAAGCGGTTTATTCAAATTATCCTTCCGTCCTTTCCACACCGATGGATTTACTCTAAGCCTTTTGTCCTTTGTGTTTTCGATGCGTTATGTTTGATTCATCTAAAGCCTAGTACTTATGGTAGTCGTCCTTAAAGTTCAAAAAATTTAGGGGAGCGCCTTTCTGGTTTTTCCGTTGTACTACATTCACAAAGGTCACAGAAAGTGAAGCAAATGTTGATTTCACTTCATGGAGCTCTGCATATTGATCTGCAATGCACCAGGCACTATGGTTGCAACCGAAAGATTTGAATGCATACGAGTGTATACAATCCTACTGCCGCAAGATGATCAGTGTGTCGTAATGTTGCCTTCGACATACATTCCGATATAAGCCACGTGCACGAGTTCATCCGGAACACGCCTACTTGAATGAACTTTTTCCCAAGATTTCAAGTTCTTTTATGAGCTGGATTATACGGATACTCGCATCACTATTACACATTAGGTTGGAACAGTTGAAATGTCGTTTTCGATCATCAATTATTTTCATTATAAAAACAATAATGAAGCACATCAACCTGAACCATCTCCTTCACCTGTGTCACAGGCTCATCACCTTTCGTTACGCAGAGCATGGATGGCTACCGCGTAGAACTCTTTCTGGTTCGACTCGAAGAAGTTGGGCACTCGAATTTTGACGTCGTTGCGGTTATCGAATTGGTCGGCTGGTT